GCTAAAGCAATATAAAAATTACGCGTATATCGTCCGGAAATCTGGCAAAATTTTTCGGCGTGTCTAAATTTGTGCTAATTTTTTGATAATATGACCATTTTAGTCCAACCCGACAACTTCGGCTTATCGAAAGTGAGTTTGTACTAATTTTTCTAAAAATTTTGTGTAATAGAAAACATGATATACAGATTTATTATTGACAAAATTGTATTACACTCACCTTTCAAAATTATTTTAGAAATAATTTTTATAGGTGAGTGTAACTATGTGAATCAGAAATCCTAGTAGCAGGTGTCCAATACCAAGAGAAGCTCCTCACAGTTAAGATTAGATATTGAGCTAAACCTGAAATATTTGGTTTTCTGCACAGCATTACACGGTCTGTATAAATGTTATTATTATGTTTTTAATGGAATAATAATATTTATTAAAGCCCTTCAAAATGAGAATTTGTTCGTAAAAGTAAACTATTTATTGTTTAAGTTTATATACAGTATATTATATAGTCAATATTAATATTTACTTGTTATAATTTTCTCTAGTAGTGTGTCGTTCTCTTGAGCAACACTAGAGTGTTCTAGTTGATACTTGCCAAGAAAATAAATTGTAGGGTTTTTTTCGGAAGTAGAAATATGGTTTAGATAATGAGGTCAATAATGAGACGTACTATTTAGGGAAAGCAAAATTTAACACACTAGCTAAGTTGTTTCTATAAAACTATTATTGTCTGATCATTAACTGCTGGTACATTTCGCATAAGTGAGTTTACCAACAAGGAGCCGTGCCATTACAACTGACATTTACATGTAATTACGCGTTTTGCCGCTTCCTATATGATTGTAATCCTCTTCCCGTATCCAAGTAAAAATAATATAATTATTGAGTCTTTTTTAAAAAAATTTAATTTGGCGTTTTGACATCTATTTATAATACTTATTAATGGTAACATTGACCCGTTTTAATTCTGGAAAAGTACGTTTACGCTTGAGTATTGCGCCACGCTACCATATCATATAAGCAGTCCTTACGGTACAGCACGTAAACCCGGGTAATGCACAATTTTTTAAAGGTACAGTCAGAAATTTCGTCCTTTCCCGTACTTATTATCATAGATAATTCAATTATATTTTGCGGCCAAGACGGGATCAAAAAACATCTGCAACAAAAATGTACCTATTGTCGAGAGCGAGAGTCTTTACGTTAGCCTTGGGATAATAGTCATATGCAAGTTGAAGCTTGGCTTCTCCAGCTATTGTTATCTTTTATCGATTCCCAACCTAAACTGAATAATAATGGATCACAATTCGATTCCGGTTATTTCCTATAGGCAGAATTTTAATTCTTTGGTCTAAGGAAGGTCGAAATGCTTCTAATTTATAACGCGTCTACACTAGTCGAATTGTAATAAAAGGCGGACAAGAGCTGTTGTCTTAGCAGAAGGATTAATGTTTTCGTGTTCGGTTAGTACAAATTTCAGAAAATAAAGCGTATTTTGATAAGTTATTATTCCAGAAGACTATACTAACTACAAGGATGATCGCATTGCTCGAGAGATTCTGACAGTTTTGTATTTATTACTAATCCAATATTGCACGCTATTTTTAATATGTTGTGCTAGTCAGCATCCATCGGCATCGTCGGGCGTTTTTGACTTTCGCGATGACATGCTGACTCATCGATTTGTTACTTGCTCTTTTCCATTTGGTTTCAGTGTCGTTAAGCAAATTTGTCACGATTATTAGTCTTCACACTATTGAATCTGCAGTGTAGAGGGGTCATGCATACATGTGACCATGTGAGAAATTTCGTCATCGTACAAATCTGCTTATATGGAAATGTATGCATACTCCGCAAAGCCTTACAAAATATCCGTAAAGTCTGGTTCAATGAAGAACTACGTAATTGTGATACGTAGGGCCAATAATAGTCCGAGTGCTTAATGAAACAGATCAATCCATTGAGCCATACGCAAATCAACAATTGGTGAATGCGTATCGTTATTTATTAACCGATGTAAGATGTTCGAACTTAAGTATTCTTTTAACGACTTATTATGTTAACACAGACTTGGGGTAAGCATTATTCATTACGTATTAATGAATTCCGCTCATTGCACTAAATGAGCCAGTTGATCCCAAGAAATCGGTAACATTTTGAAGGAAACGTCTGTGCTACGGTATGTTCGTAAGCACTGTCAATTAATGGGATTTAATACGCACATGCACTTGCGCGAGAAAGTTTCGAATAGCTCTTACTTTGTAAAGGTGACACACCTGAAATTATTTATATTTACGTTCATATATATTTCTGATATTTATTTATCAATTAGCTCGGACACAAATATTCGCACTGAAAGTGGTAAATGGTTACACGATGTTATTATGCGCACTTGGACATTATTAAACCATTCTTGGGTTTGATTGACAGAGTGCCAAAATGGCAACCCCTTTCGGAGATAAGCTAAATGAAAGGGACTAATCGGCATAATGAGAAGTTTTCACATTCTGTTCTATTTGCACGTCTATTCCCGAAATAGTAAACTCGTAACACGAATTAGAACTTTGATGGTTTAAAGGAATTTCTAACATTCAACACACTACGATAACAATGAATGATAAGCGACTTGGGGTAAGTGGGATTTTCACATTTCGTACTCGAGGGTAACCAATGGCGTAATGATTTTGGTCTTGCATAAATGCACCACTCAACGCTTGGCCATATTACAAATAAACTTAAGAATCTGCGAAGAAAATCACTCCAAGAACGCATCGGCTCTGTCGTTTCATCTCTGTAATCTTAGCTTTATCGAGAACGAATGCCTACATATAATATGTTCTGTTAGTCATGACAAGCGGTTCCGTGAACTGCCCGGATTTGATCAAGGTTACATCAACTTTTAGGTCACCCGTTTATTGGTCAATCGTTTTGATAATAGGCATATAAGTCGTACATCAAATACACAACGCATTATTAGCTAATATGACTTATCCTATCACCATATTTACACGGGTATAAAAGATAACCGTAAGGATTGTATAGAACACGGACAGTACCAAAAAACCTCCCCAAAAGATAACTAATCCTCTTGCAGGTTTGTACTAATCGGAAAGACATGTTCCCATCTTCTATGAGTCCTCGATGCGATACAAATTACATATGACACATATTTGTTTATAAGAATATGCTTTATTACTTTATCCAGAATGGTTTTTTTTCAATAAGCGCATTTCCGCTAAAAAACCCATGCATGGCTGGTTTGTTTACAATTACTATTGTTGTTGTTGTTGTTGTCGTCGTCGTTATCGTCATCGTAGTTAATTAATTAGTCGATGCGGCGTGTTGGTATTAAAGTTATTGTCATCTTTGGCGAATACAAATATTAATTACCACTACAGCTGGAATATATTTGCTGATCTAGTCTATTCTATGTGAAAAAAAATAATTAAATAATATTTGTACAACCGTGTCCTACATATAACAGAAAGTATTCGGAATCTTCCGGGTATTAGAACGATATTTTATCATCGATCGATTCATATTATTACAAACCGTCCCCCCCTTACACGCTTCTATGGTTATCTAGTTTTCGATTCCTCAACCTCGATTGCGCAGGCCTTCCTTTGCAATTCATCCATGGCACGGAAAATTATATCGGTAATTCGAATCCGAGTGGTTGTTTCGTCTACTTCCTGTAGTTCCGCGAGAAGTTCTTTCAAGTCTATTGGGTCACCAAACAAAATTTTTATATCTTTACCAATAAGCGGAATAAACGGATTATCTCTTTCTTCGGGCATAACATCCTCGAGACCTGGAAAGCAGAATTGAAAGCGTTAGTAAACATTGCAAGAATACAATAAGATGAATGAAATAAATCTTGATGCACACCTTTGTGCCATAATGGTACAACTATGGGTAAATTATGCGTCTCCATCAGTAATCGCCCAATTCCCCATTTAAATCGTATCAAGCTAGCAGTTTGATTGACTTTTCCTTCTGGGAAAATATGTACCTTTTAAGTAGTAAATACATTGTTAGAAAAGTAGTAAAAAAAAACTACCCAGCATCAAGACATAAAGTTTGTCGTTTCCGCATACCCACCCATTCACCATCATTAAGCCTATCCAATGCATAATTCATGGCTGGTTGGTGTATGCCTGCCCCTCGCACTGTGGGAACAACGCGGCCGAGCGAAAAGAAATAAGAAAGTGCTCTAATACAAACACAAGATCGGTCAGTAGATTTATCATAATATGCTTGGTATGTCATATGTCGCATGCCATCAATTACTTACGGGTTGGTAAAACAAATTTCCTGCGCACCAAGTGTCCAACGAATTGTTCGTAAACTCTTGTAAACTGACATTGGTAGGCTTCCCCACAACAACGGATCATCGACTCTAAGGAATGGAAAATCAGCTCGTGCCATTATTACTTCCGTAGTACAAGGCATGTAATCTACAACGAACAAAAATAAAGAAAGAAATACTTACGTGGAACAATGATTAGCAACTAAGAATGAATAAATCGGGCCAAACCATTGATTGATGCATGTATGCACAATTGACCGGCAAAAAATAATTCTCAGTTAATCCTTTCGATTTCGCATGACCCCACTTCTTTTCCTCCTTCAAATATCGTAACATACCCGTCAATATGGGCCTAGTTCGATTAGGATCCAGTAAAATACGGACAAAAGGTTCCTCATTATGAACGACAGCCGACTTTGTGCAAAAGTTCAGAAAAAGCTTTGCAATTATTACGCAAGACACGCTTGTGCACCAGCTCGCCAAGTTCCACAGCCGGGCTCCAGCAACACGATTAAGCAGCATGCGTCTCGGATTGTTATTCTCTAAATAGTATGGTTTGGGGACTTTGACTATGCATTTTGTATCTGGCCCGAAAGACGTCTCGTTAGATGGAACTTCCGTGTTAGTTTGCACCATATTTCCGTTGTGGGAAAAGGCGAGAAAACCTATAACAGGAGCTGATAGAATAATGAATAATAGTGTTCCTAATAGCATCCACATTAGTTTGTCGGTAACCGTTGTTGGGTTAGGGTAAATGTTAATATTGGGGAATGTTTGGCAAAAAGGAAAGGGTTATGATTTTGTGTTGGTTCAATTGCAACCAATGATATTCTGCTTCTAAATGCCGTCATTGGAACCGGCTTACCACACTTTTGGAAAGAATGTGTCGTTTCTCGAAAAGTTCATAATTCCTCGCTTTGTTCGCTCAAACAAACCTGAATACCCACCCATAAACCAATTTTTCTTTTGTTCCTTGTTTCTCATTCAAATAAAATTTACTGCTGAAAAGCTTTTACTAATATATTCTGCTTTATTACTTTTTAAAATTCTAATCACTATTTCAACTATTCAAAAGTAGTATTTTACTCCCAATAATAATATCTCCTCCGCCGTTCTCAGTCTAACGAGTCCGTTTCCCCAAGTCATAATTTTGGCATATTCTATTTCAGACGTGGTTTCTTTACTTTTTATTTTTAATTCTTCAAGGTACCTACACGAACGCTGGCGATCGTACTGCTGAAAAAGTTACTAAGAATAGTGGGCATGGGCGGGTGTATATCGACTCATAACGAAGATTACCAGACTAACAAGAGGATAGAAAGAGATTTGAGGAGGGATGAGAAACAACAGAAAACAGAAGTAAAGTTATTATTGTTAGGTAAGAACTAAATTAAATTGATATGTTCTATATAGAAATATATGTTAAAAAGTATGCAGAGCTACAGGATCCTACCCTGACATTGCAAAGGAAAAGAGAGTCCCTTTACCGATCCAAAATTACTCCCGAGTGTACGAGTTTACTTTTAAAATACTGATGAGACTTGTGGTCGATTCTAGGTGCAGGAGAGTCTGGAAAGAGTACAATTCTCAAACAGATGCGTCTAATTCATACATCCGGATTTAACGAGTCAGAGAAGGAAAACTACAAATCGATAGTTTTATTAAACATAATGCAATCTATGCGATTGGTGCTCGAAGCAATGGAGTACTTTCGTATTCCACTTGGAGATAGTTCAAATATGGTAGGAAATGCGTGAGATTATTTAATACTTGACCTGTCATTGTTCATAACTGATAATCAACCAGACTAAACATCAAAGTTACTCTACCGCTTATTATTGTCTCGTCTTTTTTTCATAAAAGCAATATCTATCATTATTTACCGATATTCCGACCCTACCAAAGGGGCAGCCGTTTCCTACGCACTATCTACAACCCCTGAAGAGCCTATGGAATGATAAGGGCGTACAGGAATGTTATGAGAAGGGTAACCAGTATGCTTTACATGACAACATGAGTTAGTGAGTATAATAACAACCTATTGTGTAAAATGACAGTACAAATAGATGCTTACTTTGCATTGTTTCGTTCACTAAAATACTACATCACTACCTTGTCATAGTTTCTACGGAAACTTGGATAGAGTTTTTGCTTCTGAATATATACCAACAAACCAAGATATTCTTCGATGTAGACTGAAAACAGTCGGCATAGTGGAAACTAGTTTCCATCTTGGACCGCTTACCTATAGGATGTTTGATGTTGGAGGGCAGCGATCTGAGCGAAAGAAGTGGATTCACTGCTTTGAAGATGTCACAGCAGTACTTTTTCTTGTAGCTATCTCTGGATATGATCAGTGCTTGGTAGAGGATAAAGATGCTAATCAGATGCAGGAAGCATTGCTTCTATTTGATAGTATTTGTAACTCTCAATGGTTCGTCAACACGAGTATGATATTGTTTTTGAACAAAATTGATATATTCAAGGAGAAGATCAAATATTCCAGGGTCAGGAAATATTTCCCAGACTATCAAGGTAAAGTTTGACAAACGGTTTGTCGCTGCGCATTTTGATTGTGATTACTAACACGGACATTGCGTTAATAAAATAAACTCGCGTAGGTTCATCTGATGATTTCAAGCAGGCCTCACACTACTTTAAGCGAAGATTCCAGCGATTGAATAGAAGTACCCAGAAAGAAATATATCCGCACTTTACTAATGCTACTGATACCGACCTTCTAAGGCATATAATGGGGAGTGTGACAGGTAAGCGGATGACTAATGCCGAGATATATACACCTACTTGCCCTCACCTAAACTATCTTTGTGATCCTGTAGATATCATATTGACGCAGAATCTGCGAGACTTGGTCTTGTGATTTGACCGTTTTACTTTTACGAACATTCTATTTTAATCATTATTATTATTTACAACGTATGGCAAGTTCCTTTAATTAATCAAGGTATAACGAAGTACTAATTATACGTGGAGGGGCAATTTGGGAGTGCGTTAATCGAACATTTGATCTTACTTTTATACAAAAAAAAACCAAATAAACGCGTAGTTTTGCAGTACAAACAAACAAACGATCATTTCTATTTGATGATCATTTTTAAATTTTATCAAAGAGAAAGAGAAACTAAACACACTCAATAATCTTTAATCCGTATAAAATTAATTTAATATCGTCTACTCGCTGGCAATAACTGGTGACAAATATTCAACTTGGTGTCAGATGTAAATATTGGACAACAAATATTCTCATCATTATATTGACATTGTTTGTCGTATTCCAGTTGATAGCATCTGCGTTGTCCTGGTCATCCGTAATAGCATCGATAGTATTAGTCATCGGATCAGGCTCACGAAGCAAAATTTTGTTGAATAGCTTACCGTTATTTGATGCCATACGTGAGGAAACGGCCATGATATCAAGTGAAGAATGGGCACGCCTCTTTGCAAGAATGGGACATGATCATCCTCTATAAATGAATTGTAACTTGGCAGATAAGAATCAAAATACATATCCGAATTTAAACTTTCGTCGTCATCTTTCAAAAATGATTTGCTCCATAGACGTTTCTCCAACTCTACGAATTCGCTGAATAGCCATGATGTAGATGAATAAAAGTTTCTCAAAACAGGCTTCTTGGCCCCAATTAAGTCTAATAAGACCATAACTTCAATACCACTGAGAAGAGACACTGCTGTATTGTGTGGAACATCGATTCTTGATAAATACGTATGCTCCCATTTTGCAGCAAGATGTCTGGGACAACGTTAGCGAATTTATCGTTGTAAATTAACCACGAATATAATCATGCAATATATGTATAAGATTGTTACCTCGAGCCATAAAGTGAATCCGTATCTGACCACTCCAAGAACGCTTCTTCACCATCAAAAAAGATTAACTGCAGAGTTCGTTCCGAACCATTATGCTTATTTAACAATGGATCTAGTGTGTGTGCAAGATCTACGAGCATGCCACAGGGTACTGCAGAATCTGTTGCGCCGATGAAGCCGTCATTCGGTGGTGGAAAGTACTTTGAATCATAGTGAGCAGCAAGTACAAGTCTTGAACGCGCGGTTATATCCTTTGTTACAATTATATTATTAAATGACTTATCGCCGAGTGGTGTTGAAGCTGTAAACCTGTCCTCTTCAACGTCCCAGCCTAGTTCCGTAAAAGTCGACACGATGAAAGTCTCCACCTCTCTGTGAGAATCTGTATCGACTACTCGAGGGACTAGAAATGGTTTTACAAATTCTTCTAGTCGAGAGTTGGCGGTAGCTATTGTGCTTAGCTCGTCATCAGAAAGAGCTTTGAAAGAGAAAGCTGTGCGGAAATATGTCACTAGAAGTATTAGTTGGAATAATAACATTCTATGTATTCTAACTTGTGCTAATAGAAAATAAATGACGTAATATACTAATACTAAATTTGAAACTCTATAGAAGGATTGTGTGAAAAATCAAGTACAGCACAGGATTTAAACCAAGCTCAGCAGTCCAGGGAAAAAAACTATTAATTGCTTATGCTTTAGAATAAAATCTTAATTTTAAAAATTTAGTAACAATTTTTGTTAACAGTTTAAAGCTACTCAGTCGACATTTGGAACAGCTTTAGAGGTCCACCTTAGTATTAGCTGTGCTTAATAATAATAAAGGACACACAAAGTCAGTCGATTTTTGGTTATAGATACCTTACACTTGGCCAAAATCAAGACTTGCTTTTCTTGCATAAAAGTTACATGTCAAAACGCGTTGAAAGAGTTTTTGTGACATTTATCATATCTCTTTGCGGTTTACAAAAGTACCAGCATGGTTGCTAATGGTACCTTTACCGTTGAAAATTAAAAAAGTAAGTGTTTTCTGAAATTACCAAAGAAATGAAGTCCTCTATTACAAAAGACAAATGTTTTTATCACATCTGTTGAAGATGAATTCAAAGATATTACTTGTCTACGACCGATTTATACTGGCAATGAATAAATATTGCTTAGCTTTTCCCGCTTTAATTTTCAAAAAGTTTAATAAAAAAATATATTAGAACAACTATGTACTTAATATTAATATATGACAACATCGAATTACAATAGAAACTTATAAGGAGTATATCAATGCTCATCATAAGAGAGCGAAAGAATGTAGGTTTGTCGCAGGAAGTCCAACTACAACCATTAACAGTTTTGATTTAATGAACGTTATTACAAAGGTATTGTTGACTTTTATGAAAAATTGGAAGAAAATGAGTAATTACAAAAAGAACTTAAAGTGGCTTGAAGTGAAGGTCAAACTCATATTGAGATATGCAATATGAAATGGGACAAAGTGAACATTTGATCATGTGAGCCAAAGATAAAGAGGCTGATGTAACTGATAAGTGGCTGAGACGCTGTACATGTATTGTTGCGTCTAGCAATAGTAAAATCCTTCGTCTAGCAATAGTGAAATCATTCGTCTAGAAAAGGATTATTCTCTAAAATAGATTAATATGAAAGAACACTTACCCGAATGCTCATTAAAATCTGATAAAAGATCATAATCTGTTCCAGATCTCTAACATTTTTTGGAATATTATACGAGACCACTTCAACCAGTAGATATATTCCAGGAGAATGGAATTCCATAACACACACTGACATTTTATAGCTATTGATAAAAGTGATTATTCGTTTTGCTTCATGTGGTTATAACTCTATTGCTTGTTGTTTGATATTATAATCAATGTCATCTTTCGCATGTGCGGCACATCCCAGAAAGCTTTATGTGGATCATTTTGCTTCGGACTGGTTACTTCACCAAATACAGCCGTACGAGTTCCACTTTTATTATTTGGCTTGTAATCGGGTACTTGACCACAACCACAGTGTAATTTAGATGCATAAGACCTTACATATATCCTAAAATACAAACTATTTATATATTATACCATGAATGCTTAATTGTGTAATTATAATAATGAATCGCCTTATTAAAGAGTGGCACAATATAATCCAACATGAATGTTCCTTCTGTTAATTTGTCCATATCCACTAAGGAATCCCATAACACAATTCTTCCAACAGTCTAAAAAACGCCCTGGATAATAATTTTTCACCAACTTGATTCCCAACATCATGTCTAAGAAACCTTTCAATTTCTTCCAGACTACGTTGTTGACAATTCTAATAGAATGTAATATAAAATTATTAAAACAATTTACTGTTACGGTCGGCGTCCACAATAGGGTTGGGAGAGCACTTAATTGCGTAGGCGTGTTCTGCCGAGAGGGGGTTTTTCACAATTTAGCTTTTGTCGCTGCCATACTCCAACGATTGCTCACTTAAGGCTGAACTAAACTGAAAGTGACAATAATTATTTATATGCGCGCTTCTCTTCAC